GGAAATGAAATATAGGCGGGTAAAAGTAAATGATTTGCTCAGTCTTGCAGCCTCTCAGTGGCGGGACAGGAAGCTGGGCCTCCAAATCCTGTCTCAAATATTAATGCTCACAGAACGAGACACAGAATTTATCACCGTCTGGGATCCTGAAGTGTACACAATACCTTTTTTTTCTGAACATCTTGTTCAGTCTTTTTAAGTCTTCTGAGGATATTAATCTGAATTTCTCCATCATCTTTAGTGTCTTGGTTTTTAGGAAAGACCACTGACAGTTCAGTGTGTGATGTGATGGACAAGGTCTCTGATACTACACTGACATCTTCATTTAACAGTTGTTAAATGCTGTTGCACGTGGACCAATGTTTGCAGTGTTCTGGTTGCCCTTTTGAGAATCTGTTGGTAAGATGTATTCAGAGTCTTGATTCAGTATATCCTGCAGCTGTGAATGATTTGGGGTTTTTTGCACGTTTTGAAAATCCATGTATTTGTAGTTTTTAATTAAAAGCACAAGACGTATTTCTTTACATATAAAACATGATATGATACTGTATTTAAACTGAAAAATATTCCTTAAAATATGTATTGCTTGACTAATGATAGAAAATTATGTCTTATCACTTTCCTTTTTATTATTAGGTATTGTAAACAGATTGGAATTAATTTTCCCCTTAATTAAATTCAATCAATAAATTTTACTAAATTGTATTAATGTTCATGTTACTTTGCTGCCAAACAAAGCATTTTAAAGCACACAGTGATGTATTTCTTCTCACAAGGAAAACGAACACATGCAGTTACATCTTTGCAAGTAAAATAGATTAGGAAACGACTTTGTCCCGACACGACTGGCAGTGTCAGCTCCCTGCCAGCTTCTCTGTACAGCAGGCCAAGAGGGCTTGTCTGTGAAGCAGCTGATTTATAGTCTGTGTGCAGCTTCATCCTCACTGCTGTTTGTCCTCCCAGAGGCCAAGGATGTACATGAAATTGTATGTAAGGGCCCCAGAAGATGTGAAAAGCTCTTGGGTCATATGTTCACAGCTCTCAGTATGATCTGAGACCAGAAAGTGCAGTCGATACACAGTGAGTGCATGTAAAGTCCTTCGGTGTAAGCTGGAATTGTCCACATCCATTTCCTGCAAAGTAATAATATGCAGATCTTGTTATCCCCACTCATTTTTAAGTTGTCTGTAGGTCTCAGGTTGCTAAGTGGCTCACCGTCTGGGCTGTGCCCTCTTGTTGAGACCATTCTCCATTTGATCTTGTGCCAAAGAGGAAAAGTGAGACTGTTGGAAATTTAGTTTGCTCTGTAAGTTCGGGTGAGTAGAGAGAACCATCTTGACAGGATGATGAAATCGTGGAAGTACTGTCCTTCCCATTAACTACCGACCTGTTACTCAGGCTCCTGAGGCTGTTCGAGTCCTGCCTCAGTAAATCCTGACTGTGTAGTGTCTCTTCTAACAGGTTAGCTGCGCCCAGTCACCTCTGTTATCACCTGTGGGCAGTTCTGCAGTTTGTTGCCTTTATAAGTTAGAGAGACATTCTGCTTAGGGGAAAGTACAAACACACAGACACACATATTGATCTATACTCAAATCACAAAAAGCTTTTAAAATGATGTGTGAAGTAAAAATGACAGCCTTAGGAAACTGTATTAGCAGCATTACTTAGAACAGACATAACCAAGAATAGTAAATAAATGTGCACAGTCACACCACGTGTCTTTACACCACGAGTAACGTGGTAGAAGGAATCATCTTTAGGTACCAAAACGATTTGGGACCTCTTTTCTTTGTTCTTTGCATATTATTTGTTTTCTGTTAGTTTAGCTTTTTCCAAACACGTTTACTCATTGGCACCTTGTCTTAGTCATCTGGCTGCTGTAACAGAAAGACCATAGACAGCATGGCTCACACAGTAGAAACTTCCTCTTCACAGTTCGGGAGGCTGGAGAGTCCGAGATCAAGGCTCGGACTGTCTGGTGAGGGCCCGCTTCCCTAATTCATGGCCTGTCATCTTTTCCTTGTGCCTTCACTTGGCTGTAGGGACAAGAGCTCTCTGGGGCCTCTCTTGTAAGGGCACTGAGCCCATTCGTGACCTGGTCACTTCCCAAAGCCTGGTCTCAGTACCATCACGCTGGGGACTGGGTTTCAACATACGAATTTCGAAGGGACACACATTTAGCCTATAGCACACCGACTCTAGTTAGGAAGGGAAAGAAGAGATGACATCAGATAAAGCTAATGATTGAGAGGTTTAATCCTTGACATGTTGAAAAACACCAGTAATTGTCTCAGCAGGCTGATCTGTTGCAGTTTATAAAGGGATAGAGTCTAGCCATATTTGGTGGGTCCCACCCTAATGTTGTCTGCTAGCTTTTTTCTCATTTAGGAACCATT